AAAGTCCTTTGATAATTCAGGGGGTATTTTAAACCTAGCAATGATACACTTTCATAAAACCACACATCCCTGTTTTCTGAAGGATGCTAATAAGATGGTTAGCTTTGCTTTCATGCCCGATGTGTTTATGAGTGCTCTTGCCCATTTAGTTGCATCTCTGAATTTAATGCCCCACTCTGATTTCATAGTAATTGTCAGGAGTTTTTTTTTTTTTTTTTTTTTTTCCCTTTTTGTATGTCCCCGCTCGCTGTCTGGAAAATGCAGTCTCCTCATTGCTGACCCCATCAGTCTGTCTCCTCATGGTGCTTGTAAAGAAAACCCTCTCCATCAAGGACAAAGATGTTTTTAAACAAGCCCATCTGATATAAAACATAGTTTGCTTAACCCAGAGGTGACCAAGAAGCGGTTGCTGGCTGACTGTGCCCAGCCTTGAGTTGCTGCATGTGGCTGCCCTTCGCAGAGGCTGTGCGCGCTGCCACGCTGTGCTCTTCATTATCTGAACAGCATCTGCAGTACCCTTCTCTGTTACAGATGCCGCAGTCTGCTTAGTTTTGTGCAAATGACACGCTGCCCTTACACTCCTCTGAGTTGTCTCTGCAGCTCCTCAGCCAGCTGACGTCTCCATTCTGCTCAAAACTTGTCCTGCTCCTCACCCTGGACGTCCCAGTGAGTGAGTGCCACTGGCCTGGCTGCCATCTGGGCATCCTCCCTCCTTGCTGCAGGTTAAGTCACAGCATTGAGACATTTTGCTGCCCTGCTTCAAAGGCCTGCTCTTCTCCTGTTGCTTCAGAGCATCGGCTTTGCACCAGATTTTCCCCATTTCGTGGCTTTCCACCTGACATTTCCCATCACTAGCACAGGGTTGCTTTCTGACTCTCCTCAGCCCGAGTTAATTTCAGTGTTTGTGCTGCAGAGAAGTGCTTGTGCATCAGTGTGTGTGCAGTGAGGGCTGCTTGTCCCACACAGTGGTGGCATGCAGCAGGGAACTCGGCTGAGTTATTTTTTCCAGTCTACTAAGCTGTCAGGAAATGCTTTTTGTCTTCCTAGCCAGTGTGCTCATAAGACCAATTAAAAAAAAAAAAATGTTACAAACCCATCTGTGCATGACTTTCCTTAATCTTAATTCTTCACTAACTAGAGGGAGAATGCTGGATGCAAGTTTTAAATATTATTTACAAAATAGTAACAATCATAGTAGCCAGTATTATTATTTGGCTCTTGATTTAAGTTGTATACACAGGCCGTGTAACCTGTGCTGGCAGCTACTGAAATAAAGTCCACTTCTCGATGTTGGCCTGCTTGTCTTCCAGCCTTTTAAATCAGCTTACTTTATACCTTAGAGAATACTTTTATTTCTATATATATCCTCTCTTCCATTGGCTAGCCCAGATAATCCTGTGATCAGCCATGCAGCAGTGTCACTTGAGTAGAATATGGAACGATGCTGATCGTTTTCTCGTAGGCTGTCATACTGGCCCAGAAATAGCATCCGTCTACAATGGGAGAAGCTCTATTAACATTTACAACTCTTCCTCTTCCCGACCCCTGAGAATTGCTCCCTGGTAGATAAGCAATACTTTGTAATACATTTCTTTGCGCTCGCTAGTTTGGAGTTAGAATTCTGAAATGTAAAAGGCTCCTAATCCTGATCTGCTCTGGGATACACTGCTCTGCTCTTAGCGAGTGGTGCTGTGAATAGGATTAGCATTTCAACAGCTTCTTTTTTTAACCATGAGCAATAAACTAAAATAATAGGGCCTGATTCAGAGCTCTCTGCAGTCGGCAGTAGTGCTTTAGCTGGGGTCTGTTGGCTTTGGGTCAGGCCCATAAGAATGGGAAACTCAGTTTTTTCCCTGGAAAGGAGGGAGAACGTGTGAATTTTAGAGTTCCTGCTCCTGTGGGGTCTGTCCGCACGGAGCTGAAATCCATGGATTTACAAGCCAACAAACACCACTGTGAATTTGACTGCAGGTGAAAAGAAAATGTGTGTTGCTAGTCGCGCAGTTAAACCTTGTGTTTTTTAATGATGTCAAGGGCACTCAGGACGTGTATGTAAATAAGTCGGCGTTAGAGGTATTTCTGTGGCTGTTCCTTTTCTCTTCCCTCAGCCGTGTGGGAGCCCGGACCCTCGGCGGGGCAGAACCAGGGCTGGGGGCTGAGAGGGGCTCTTGGGTTGGGAGGGCTCGCAGCGACTGCCCGCGCTGAAGGCAGCCCTTCAAATTCATTAGCTACGGGCCCACAGGCGAGAGCCAGCTGTGAACATCTGGCCCCCGGGGATGTTACAGGACTGTACGCTTCGACTAAAAGCAGTTTGGGGATTTACTGTGCCAGCACCGTGCAGCCATGGCACCCGCTGGCGAGCAGACCCCCTTCCCCATGAGCAGCTCTTCGGTGGGGTCTGGGTTCCCAGTTTTTTACCGGTGTGTCTATGAGATGGGGACACCCTGAGCCTGCAAATCGGGCTGTGAGACTGCAGTTTTGCTCTTCCTTGAGCGAGCTCTGAATTTCTGAACCTCGGCTTTCCACAGTGCTTTTTAAAAACACAGCAACAGTGACAATCCTGCGACTTGCTACAGATACCCTTCAAACCCAATGTTGTTACGCCTACAAGTATCTCAAGGGAGGGTTGAGGGAGGAGGGAGCCAGACTCTTTTCAGTGGTTCCCAGTGAGAGGACGAGGGGCAACGGGCACAAGTTGGAACAGAAGAGGTTCCACTCAAATATGAGGAGAAACTTCTTCACGGTGAGGGTGACAGAGCCCTGGAACAGGCTGCCCAGGGAGGGTGTGGAGTCCCCTTCCTTGGAGATTTTCAAGACCCGCCTGGAAGCTCCTGAGTAACATGCTCTGACAAGCTCTAGGCAATGCTGCTTCAGCAGGGGAGTTGGACTAGATGATCTCTGTGGTCCCTTCCAACTCTAAAATTCAGTGAAATTCTCACCTGTTTCTTATACCTCCTGCATGTATTTTCAGCTAATTAAACGGAAAACCATTAAGTTACTCACAAATCTAAAATGCTTAGAGGTGGATCGAATCTCACGTGCATTTGAATCTGAGTGTGTTTTCATCCTGCGTTACCGAAACCTTTGGCATCACGACCTGTAGCCCCGTGTCCTTCCCAAGACCCTCCCCACCTCAGAGCGGTGTGATGAGCAGCCAGAAGCCCTGCTTCCCAAATGGCCGTGGTGGGGCTCTCCACGAGTTGGCAGAAGGGCACTGCTACAGCCCTGCAACTACGCGTTGCAGCCCTGACAGTCGTGCCGCGTCCTGCAGCTCTTTATCTTGAGGACAGGTTTCTGATTGCCGTGATCTGGAGGGGATCGGGAGCAACCTTCACGGCTCAAATAGTCCTTGGCTCCCAGCAGGAATATTTAGAGGGTGTAGTTCCTCATAGCAACAAAGCACTTTGTGACATTTAACTGATTCACCCTTGCAGGTCGACAAGAAGCTTTGTCTCTGTTTTGCAAATGGGAGAACAAAAAAAAGCTTGAGAGACGGGGCCCTGTGGGCCCAGGTTTGTGCTGATATTTGAACTTTGCTCTTGGCTCTGGGTCTTCAACATGGGAATTGTCTGGGAGAGACCAAGCAGGAGTCCTGAGGGCTCCAGAAAGGGCTGTAGGTGTATTCCTGTCCCGGATTTGCTCAGGCAAATTAGTTGCAAGAGCATCTGTGTCCCCAGGCTGGGTCTCAGTGTGGTGTGTGCTGCTCGGGCTCCCAGGAACAGTCCCTGCCAAGCAGGGGGTGCAGAGCAGCACGGCAACGTGTCCAAGGACACCCTGGACTCACTGCCTGCTCCTGTGCCCTCGGATGCAGCTGCCCCTCTCCTGTGGGGCTGGGTAGTGAGAGGTGGGGGGAAGTGGGGTGATTTGCATCTCTTGGTTATGCACCAGGATCCAGAATATTTTTCCAGCCATTTCGGGGGGGGCGCAGGTCTCTGAGTGGCGGCGCTGACAAAAGCTTGGGTGTGCTGCTGTAACGTGCACGGTTGTAAATGAGCTGACCTGCATATTCTCTTTCCTAATCCTGAGTGATACTGTCAGCTCAGAGAGCTGAGCCTGGCTAATGACTGAAATCCACTGTGCTTTTCTTAGCCAGGATGTGTGGTGATCTGAGATAGTTGTTAAGTGCTACATCCTGAGAATCAGAACTGCACGTGCCCCATGGGTCCAGCATGTTTTAGGCAGATAAACGGGGTTTGAGATGATCAGGGAGTTACTATGAAAAGAACTGGTGTCAGGTACGTAGTAACCTGCAGTTAACTAGGAGGGAGATTAAATTAATGGGGTTTTCCCTCTGATGAAGATAATGAAGAGCTCGCAAGAACTTGGTTTGCAGCTTCTGTACGATATGCGTAGGCAACTGTGTTCCTGATGCCAGACAGCTGTGTGACAAGAGCAATGCAGCCCGTGATGCACCCCACTGAGTGACATTTGTGCTGTCTGAGACCTCGTCGATACGCTCTGAGATGAAGAGGAGACTGAGGGGAGACCTTATCGCTCTCTCCAACTCCCTGAAAGGAGGGTGTAGAGAGACGGGGGTCGGTCTCTGCTCCCAAGTTACAGATGATAGGACAAGGGGTAATGGGTTCAAGTTGCACCAGGGTAGGTTTAGACTGGACATTAGGAAACAATTCTTCACAGAGAGAGTGGTCGGGCATTGGAACAGGCTGCCCAGGGAGGGGGTTGAGTCACCATCCCTGGCTGTGTTTAAGAACTGTTTAGATGTGGTGTTGGGGGATATGGTGTAGGGGAGAACTTTAGAGTAGGGTGGATGGTTGGACTCGATGATCCCGAGGGTCTCTTCCAGCCTAGATGATTCTGTGAAGGAAAATAGGGGAGAGGAGCAGAAGAGGAAATGGGAATAGGGACTGCAGGAAGGGGTGGAAGGTGTCCTGGGATCCACCACCATACTGAACCCATTTCAAGGGAGGAGGGCATGTCATGGGGAGGGGTGGAGAGAGTCAGGGGGGAAATAACAGCTACCATCTTTCTTGTGGATTTAGGGTTTACTGTCGATCCTGCGTAAACTGAAAAGTGCCCCAGACCAGGAGGTGAGAATCCTCCTCTTGGGGCTGGATAATGCAGGCAAGACCACACTCCTGAAACAGCTGGCATCTGAGGACATCAGCCACATCACGCCAACACAGGTGAGGAAGGCCTTTCCCTGCCCAAGGCAGTTCTTGTGGTCCCACCTGCTTTATTATACAAAGCACTCATGATTCAGCAGAGTATTTTAGTAAAAGGGGGAGCAACTGGAGCCTGGTGCATCCTTAAATTGGTGTGTTTTCTGCATAAGAGGAGGCTCCCTGAAGGAGCCAGAGAGCATCAGGCCAGATCTGTCAGGCCGTGCAAAAGTGGATGAGTGCTGAGGAGTTCTGCAGAGGGCTTTTGGATCATGCTGGGGTTGCACGGATGAGACTTTGTTCCTTGTCCTTGCCCAACAGGGGACATGTAGAGGTGATGCTGCAGCACTGGGCAAGTCCTTGTCTCCTTGCATCTTTCACCCAACCAACTGCAAGGGTCCTGCATACTCCAGCGCTCCCTCTCTGATGCCTGTGGTCCCCTTTCTTTGAGCCTCAGGGTTGGGGACAGGGATGTCCCCCATCAGAAGCAGTGCAGCATCGCTCCTGTGTTGACCAGAGGAGGTTGCTAGAGAGCTATGGGAGATGCTTCCCCCCACCCCGGAGCTGCCTCCCAAGGCTCCCAGCCCCAACACCCCAGTTCCAAGCTCCAGTCCCCTGGGTTGTGTGGCAGCACGTTGCCAGCCCACGCCACATCCTGTTTTTCTACTTGAATGCCCTTTCAATTGGTGCTCTAATTGATGAAATGGACCCTTCAGACATGCAGCTGTTGCTCTTTTAAGCCCGGCATTAGCTGTGTCGTGTCGAATTGAGCTGAGACCTCTGCCTTCGTGGTAGCTGGGACTCTCTACTCAGCTTTCACAAGCTCAATCCTGTTTCTCACAGCGCCCTTGTTTTCTCCTTATCTGCAGCTCTCCCACCTCTTCCTGCACCCACCCTGCTGAGCCCTCCCAGGGCACTAACTGCATCGTATGTCTCCGTAGCCATGACAGTGTCAACCCTTGACCCAAGAATATTGGCAAACTGATATTTTGGGGGCTGTGTTCACGTTCACCAGTGCCTCTCCCACAGCTGATCCATCTTTGTGGCTGCCCGGCCCACCTTGCTGCACATTGCAGGCATGGGATATATAAGGTGTTAATGTTAAGCTTATGAAAATGCTCCAGCCATTCAGGTTTCTGCTCTATGTGGCTTTGTTTCTGCCTTTTTCCAGGGCTTTAACATCAAAAGTGTACAGTCTCAAGGCTTCAAGCTGAACGTATGGGACATAGGAGGCCAGAGGAAGATCAGGCCGTACTGGAGGAACTATTTTGAAAACACTGATATCCTTGTGAGTATTGGCTGCAGTTGAATGCTGTGTTCATGCAATGGCTTTCCAAGGTCTCAGCCAGAAATTCAAGAACAAGTAATGTAATGTCCCGGTCCTCAGCAACACCATTGCCATTGTAACAGGAGTTATTCTGAGTGAAATGGCAAGATTGGTTGGGTGCAGTAAGAAAAATACAGTGGTGTTTGGAGAAACCATTCAGTTGTATGTTTTTACTTTCACAGGATGGTGCTGGTTATAGCCAGTTCCTTTCCTCTCATCTCGGTCTCCTTCAAATGAAAGACCATTAATAACTTGGTGTTTACCCATCTATAGCTCCTTTCACTGGAGACTCTGAAGGCCTGTCATGGGCATTAGTGACTTAAGCCTCACGTGTAGAGGTAGGTCAGTGTGCTGCCTTTGTTTTCTAGTTGGGGAAACTGAGGCACAGCAGAATTAAATGCTATGTCAGGTAGGAAAGCTTCTGGCTGAGGGACATACAGAGACCCCTTGTCTTTTCTTTTACTCCTTTAATCACAAGACTCTCCTTTAATGGTTTTGACAACTTAGTTGTAATTACCTTATAATTAGCTACAGATGACTACAGTTATATTTACAGTGCAGATGGAAACCTTTGTGTTTCCATGCCAGAGCACGTTACCCTGGGACCCTCCAAGTGCTGTCCTGACTAGTTTCAAAGATCACCTCTAACGTGCAGCCACGTGTGCCAGGATGAAGGCAGGCTCCAGGCCTCTCCCCACCCCGAGCAATGTTGCCTGTGGGAACAGAGAAAAGGCTATTCTGAGCAAGGTCTGCAGGGCTCCCATGGGAAAGCGGGAAGCTCTCTCAGAGAGCTCTCCCTTCCTCCCTCCTGTCACACACACAAAGTCACTAACGTGTCAGGTGCTTCAGTGCACTCCCACATAGAATCATAGAATCGTCCAGGTTGGAAGAGACCCTTGGGATCATCGAGTCCAACCATCTCCCCTACTCTACAAAGTCCTCCCCTACACCATATCCCTCAGCACTGCATCTAAATGGCCCTTAAACACAGCCAGGGATGGGGACTCCACCCCCTCCCTGGGCAGCCTGTTCCAATGCCCGACCACTCTCACTGTGAAAAATTCTTTCCTAATGTTCAATCTAAACCTGCCCTGTTGGAGCTTGAAGCCATTCCCTCTCGTTCTGTCACTAATTACCTGGGAGAAGAGACCAGCACCAACCTCTCTACAGTGTCCTTTCACGAAGTTGTAGAGAGTGATGAGGTCTCCCCTCAGCCTCCTCTTCCTCACACTAAACAGTCACAGAAGCATCAGTGCAACAAGGACTTATGTCAGGGTCTTGAAGGGCCTGGCTGTGCCTGCAGGTTTGGAAAACACTGTCCAAATGAAGCCGTTATTTAAATGGTACTAATAAACCCTCAGTAATCTCTTTTGCAGATCTTCCTTTTTCAATCTTAATTTGGAATCTGATGTTTGAGGGCAGCCACCACAGCATAGACCCGGTTGGTTGCTTTTGCAAAGCGTAGTGATGAGATCTTCCTCGGGGGAAGATGTGGGTTTGAGAAACTAGCAGGACACACTTGGTGTGCTCCTCCGTGGCCATGGAGAAGGGGGACAGGGCATGGCTGTGGGGTGACTGCACCCATCGAGTCCCCGCTCTGCAGCTGTGTGTGGGGGGAGGCAGGAGGTGTGCAGATCAAAGTCAACCCTGCGAAGCAGCAGCTAAGGGGTGTTTGCCTGCTGTGGCAGGTGCTCAGGCTGCAGAGACTCTGCAACCACAAAACAATATCTGGAAGACTCTGCTGGCAATGAGCTGCACTGGGCTTCCCCCCTTCCCAGTGCGTGCTGCATGGGAGGTGCAGAAATAAAGGTGGATTTGAAGACTGAAGGAGATGAAAGCAGTTGCTTTCCCTGCCCTCCTCCCGCCCCAGTTAAAGCAATGTATAGGGAAAACCTTTCTTTTCATGTGAGTAGGAAAATGGGTAGATAGAAGCAGAATCAGTTTTGGGGAAGAGGTGGTGTGAGTTCAGAGGGAATAACTGGTGCGTGCGTGGAGCTGAGCTCCCCTGCCTGCACTCCGTGCTGACACCCAGTCCCAGACTGGGAGCTGGTACCATATTAGTGCAGTGCTTTGCTATGGCCATATCCACCAAAACTGGGATCAAGCATATGCTGATGGCTCTATTCTCTCTTCTGCCAGCCCTCACCCCCAGTTTACTGGTAATTTTACCCTCTGACTAACGTGGTGCAAATTGTGCCTCTGTAAATTGAGCTCACTTACCCCTCCTGTTATTTCTTCATCCAGTCCCACCACTTGCAATTTCTGCCCAACTGCTTACTCCAGGTTTTGTTTTGGCCCGTTGCTCAAAGGAGACACCCAGCTTTACAGGAAATTTCTTTCTCAAGATCCTTTTCTCCATCGTGGTGTATTTAATGGCTGTTCTAAACTGGCAAATTGTGCTACAAAGCACCACAGCCAGAGACAGGCTCTTGTGTGGCCCTGGCCATAGAAGGAAGGTGGAGATGAGAGATGCTGCAGTTCCCAGGACCCCCTACTCCTATCTTCTCCAAAACTGTATTTCACAGAGCAGAAAGGACCCTCTAAAGGGTATTAAAAAGCAGGAAGTGATTGCAAATTCAAATCCATGCAGGTGCCAATGAATGAGAACTTGGTCTTGCATCACACACCTGTGATATTTGGAAGCTTAACCCAGGCAAATAAGGTGTGGATATCTGGCTGATTGCATATTCAGACAGGCACCTGCAGCTATTTGGCACAGTGCTTTCTGGTTTGGAAGTAGGCACTCTGCACATACTTTACCTTCTCTGTGCTGTGCTTTTGTGGCTTTGGCCCCAAGCGCTGTTGTCTCCCAATTCTCATCTTGCAAAATAGCTCCCTAGCAAGGAACGGAGTGGTGCAGGAGAAAGCCTGGCTGGTTGGGACTCACAGCTCTTCCTCACCAGTTGGAGAAGCACCGTAACATGGGAGGTGCCACCTTTCAGTTGAGAAGTAGCACTTGACTGTTGCCTTCATGTGTTGCTGAGCTTCCCGAGATGTCCTGAAGGAGGAGAGATGACAGTCCAGAGCACAACCACAGCCCTGCAGCTTCTGCTTTTCTTTTGCCTGTGTTCCCTACCCCAAAATGGGATGCAGAGGGGTGGATGCTGGAACAATCCTCACCATCAGTACAGGCTAGGGGGTGAGGTATTAGAAAGCAGCCCTGAGGAAAGGGACTTGGGGGTGCTGGTGGATGAGAAGCTGGACATGAGCAGGCAGTGGGCAGCTGCAGCCCAGAAGGCCAATCCCATCCTGGGCTGCATCAAGAGAAGTGTTGCCAGCAGGTCCAGAGAGGGGATTCTTCCACTTTGCTCTGGTGAGGCCTCACCTGGAGTATTGTGTGCAGGTCTGGAGTCCTCAATATAAGAAGGACATGGACCTGATGGAGAGGGTCCAGAGGAGGGCCACAAGGATGATCAGGGGGATGGAGCACCTCTGCTACGAGGACAGGCTGGGGGAGCTGGGGTTGTTCAGCCTGGAGAAGAGGAGGCTCCGGGGAGATCTAATAGCAGCCTTCCAGTACCTGAAGGGAGCCTACAGGAAGGCTGGGGAGAACCTGTTTAGAAAGGCCTGCAGTGACAGGACGAGGGGCAATGGCTTCAAGCTGGAGGGGAACAGATTTAGACTGGAGATGAGGAGAGGGTTCTTCACTGTGAGGGTGGTGGAGCACTGGAACAGGTTGCCCAGGGAGGTGGTTGAGGCCCCTTCCCTGGAGATATTCAAGGAGAGGCTCAACGAGGCCCTGGGCAACCTGGTCTAGTTGGGGGTGTCCCTGCTGACTGCGGGGGGGTCGGACTAGATGGCCTTTGGAGGTCCCTTCTGGCCTGGGCAATTCTATGATTCTATGATGCCTGGGAGGGGCAGAGGGGACCAGGCGTAGTGATGCAGGATTGGTGCCCATGGTTGGGCTCACACTGTGGGGAGAGGCTGTGTGTCACGCTGTGCCCACGGGCCTTTCCCCATCATGTGGCACCGCTGACGTGTCCCCACGCAGCTGCGTCCAGCCCTGCCGCGTGTCCCCCAGCCTCTGTCAGTGCTCATCAGCCCGGCCCCAGGAGGACAGCAGACCCCAGGTCATCAGCAGAGAGGTCTGCGAGGCTGCTGGGTTACCTCTTCTCCTGCTGCGTGTTTGGTCCCGTTTCAGACACCGCTAGCGCTGCTCATTAAGGGAGTGCCTACAGTTTAATAGATGTTGCTGCTAGAGATCTTCCCTCCCCCTACTATTTGGTCAAAATGATCCTGGAAGCGTGGAGTTTTATGCTGAGACTGCCTGCGAGGATGCCATTTATCTTGGTGACGGGGTGCTGTGCTCATCTATTCCCTGAAAACCAGGCTGACACTTGCTCCCTGTAAGCCACCAAAGAGCATGCAGATGACATGCTAGGAGCTTCAATCACCACTGATGGGGAATGGCAGGGACTGGAAGCAAAATGCTCAGTGTTTGTCACCAGTCCTGTCCCTGTCTGCTGTCCCAGCACCCTTCTCCTTCAAAAACATTCCTGTACCAAGTAATGAAAAAGAGATAGCAAGGTATTCTTGCCTGAGTGTTATACTGAGGTTCCCCATTTCTTTAGATGTAGCTTGATACTTGTGTGCTCTGAACTGCGATAGCCTTGCTAGGGGGAAGGAGGGTGGCTGGACTTGCTAATTACATCTTTAGGGGGACCTTGGAGGAGCCTTTTAGTCTGTGCTGACCTACAGCTGCCTTCACTGAGAAGGCTTGTTTGCGTTTACAGCAAGAAATCAGTGTGTGCCATGCTGCTTGGAGAGGGTGAGACCCCCTCCCAAGGCAGGGGAAGCCTGCAGGCCAGGGGATCCACCCTTCTCCATACCAGGGGACAGGTGTCTGGTTGGGACCTCCTCGTGGACCATGAGATGTGGTGCCTAACCCTGAGAGGGTGGTAGGACTCTTGCTGTCAGTCTTTGTGAGCCAGCTGCTCCCTGTCTTCTCCATCAGCCTGGTGGACAAGCTGGCAGCTGGAGATAGAGTCTCACAGGCTGGATCCAGCCCTCCTTCTCAACCACCCTCCTCCTCAACCTGCTCAGGAGGTTGTGGTAGGATCGCTGGTGGAGAGGAACTCGGTGTCCCCAGTATATTAATCTGTCCCCCGAGTGCCATTGTGTGCCTTGGTGGCTCGTTGAGGAGCTGATGTGTCCTGCTGGAGCACAGCATGGTGTAGTCACACCAGTGCAGTGCTTGTGTAGTTTGCTGGGGTGAAAGACCACGTCTGGCTCCCCAGGTTTTGCCCTTCTGTGACTCAGCTTCAGCTTGTAAGCTGGTCATTTGAAAAGATACCAGGTAGTCTCCTGTTCTCTTTGGATAATAGATGCTGTGAAGATGGTGAGAGCATCCCCAGTACTGCCCCCCAGCTCCTTTGTGATCCTACACACGTGGTTGTCCACCCCACCAGCTTTAAAAGAGGTGGATTATCTGCTTTCGGAACGTCATGAAGTTTTGTCAACATTTGCTATAAATAATACCATGGGTCTTTGTGCCCCAAAACATAATTATTAGCCTCAGCTCACTTAAGCGCATGATACAGTGGAAGAGTGTCTTCTGGGAAGAGTAACTTTTCTTCTCATTTCTTTTTTAGATCTATGTCATTGACAGTGCAGATAGGAAGAGGTTTGAAGAAACGGGTCAGGTAAGTTACTTATGCCCAGCTTCCTTTGAAGTTACTCAGTGCTTCTGAGTGCCCCTTGCTCACAAAAGTTAGGAAAATGATTTTGTTGTTTATGAGGGAAATTTGCATTTCAAGAGACTTGCCTTTCAACATCAATGCAGATTATTTTGGTAGATGTGAAACAAGGAAAATAGGTAGCCTAATTCCGTTTAAATAGAACGGTTTTCATTAAAGTTATACAATAATAGCAAATGGAGCCTAATACTGAAAGCACAAACTTCTCTAAGTCCTTTAAACCTTGCCAAACCAAGACCCTGAGGAATCCTGTTTTCTTATTTACAAAGTTGAAATGGAAATCATATTGACTTGATTGTCTTTTGGATGTAATTGAAAAAAAAAAAAAAAACCAAAACAAAAAAACTAAGAACTTTGTAACTAGGACTGGCCAGAAAATAAGATTTCCGTTTTGCAAAGTTTTGTTGTTTTGTTACATTTTGTATTTTAGGATGAAGCAAAAATAGGACTTTTGAACTTTCTTTTGTAAAATTCAGAAAGTGACAGTGTCCCAAAATAGCTAGCAAGAGATTTACCCCCCTGAAATGGAAGATTTAGTTTAAAGCCCTCTGTTCTGCCTTATTTGGAGGAGGTACTTGATCTTTCACCTCTCAAGTATCGTGGACACACTCTAACAGCAGAACTGCTGGTTGTTCTAGGGGTGGGGGGAATCTTTCCCCTGTTGGAGCTATTTCATTTTATATCATTGATTAAATATTCATTGGGCAAAAAAGAGGGAGAGGAAGTAGAAGCTTAGAGCACTTGTCTGAGTCAGCCTGGACCCCTCATATTTCCACAAACCCTTTTGGTTTCAATAAATCAGCCTTGTCAGATGAAAGACCTATTTTGTTGAAAAATTCCCAGCCAACTCTGTTTATAACTCCATTCTCTCGTCCTGGTTTCCAAACCAAACATTGCTTTTGGGGGGATGGAGTCAGATTTCCACTGCAGTTTAGCATCTCCCCGACTGCAGGGAGTCTTAATCCAAAAGTTTCAAGTCAGTGGATGAAAGATGTTAGGACAGCATCTGAGAGCATGAGACCTTTGCAGCTAAAGGCTCTGGGGAGACCTTACAGCGGCCTTTCAATATCTGAAGGGTGCCTATAGAAGAGCTGGGGAGGGACTCTTTGCCAGGAGGTGTAATGATAGGACAAGGGGAAACAGTTTTAAATTGGAAGAAAAAAGATTCAGATTAGATCTCAGGAAGAGATTTTTTACTATGAGGGTGGTGAGACACTGGAACAGGTTGCCCAGGGAAGTTGTGGATGCCCCATCCCTGGAGGGGTTCAAGGCCAGGCTGGATGGGGCTTGGAGCAACCTGCTCTGGTGGGAGGTGTCCCTGCCCAGGGCAGGGGGGTTGGAACTAGATGATCTTTGAGGTCCCTTCCAACCCAAACCATTCTGTGATTCTAAATGAGGAGCCCACAAAAATCTCATGTAGCCATCTACCTGCAAAGCCAGCACTCCCTACAGGTTCAAGTTCTGCTGGGTTTGTCATATGTTCACGTGGGGAAGTGCCTTGAGACCGTGTGCTTGTGTCACACGAGGCCATTGCACAACCCTAGACATGAAGTATTTCGGCCATCGTTGATCCACTGCAGATTCAGATTGGAGCTATTAAAAGAACCTCTTTGAGTCACCCAGTTTTGAACGAACAAACCCATTTGTCAAGATGCCACCCAATGTGTGCTGTGCATATGGAGCCCTGATCCAGCTAGGAAAGCTGACCTGGCTTGTCTTCAGCTAGCCAGGGCCTTCAAAAGCATCAGCACTTTCTTGGGGGAGGGAGATTGCCATTTCCGGGTGGGGAAAAAAAGAAGTCCTTTCCTGCTCAAATTTCAGTGTATAGAACTTGGAACAAACCCCTGAAACTCATTATTAGCAAAGATACCACGACTGGTGTCAACAGCTGCTCAGGTGCAAATGCCAGTCAGGCAATAACTGAAGACAGATTCCTCATGCTGCCCATCTACATGTTTTTTGCTGTTTCATCAGTTTTGGTCTCCTGGGAGCGGGGAATGGTAAAACACAGAGTTGTAGCCTTTAAGGCAACTGCTAATTTCAGACCAAGATGAAGATTTTTTGTAACCTGTAATTGGAAGAAATAGCTTTTGAACCTTGGGCAGAGATGATTGTATACATTTTTGCTCTCTTATAATACGATCTAGGTTTCACTGGAACACACTCTTCCAGTATTTGCCCTAAATATATTTCTAATTAGAGACAACCACTGGTGGTTGAAGGTTTTCTTCCCTCTCTCCCCTCACCCCACTCCCTTGTAAATGATATAGGAGCTGGCTGAGCTTTTGGATGAAGAAAAGCTGAGTGGAGTCCCCGTGCTCATATTCGCTAACAAGCAGGATTTGCTGACGGCTGCCCCTGCTTCGGAGATTGCCGAGGGACTGAACCTACACACAATCCGGGACAGAGTCTGGCAGATCCAGTCTTGTTCAGCTCTTTCAGGAGAGGGAGTACAGGTGAGGCTCTGGAGAAGGCTTGCTGTGCCAGCAGGCCATCTCTAAGAGACTGTTGATCTGCAGGGTGAGGCTGGACCAGCTGCCTCTCAAAGGAGGGTCAGTGCGGCCAAACACTTGCAGCGCAGAACACGGGGAGGGGGGCACGTGTCTCGTCACCTGTGCAAAGGGAAGGGGGGGCTGTGAGCTCTGGGGATCTCTCCATCCCCAGGAAAGGGGAGAGCGATCGCCTCTCCACCTAGGACCCCTTGGCTGGGCCGAATGAAAGACATTGATTTATTTTAAAGAGACTGCTGTCAGGTTAATCATTTTCACCAAACAAATCATCTTTTACTATTAACCCCTTTGACTGTTAGGAGTGTGCACTTTAGAAATCTGATTTACCTTCTCTACTAAAGTCACTTGGCATTTTGCTCAACCCAGGCGCCAGAGAGAAACCGATCAATTTTGTCTGATCCAAAGAAAGGCAAGAGTTGCACACGGGGCAAAGAGCACTTCTAATGGCAGCATGTGGGGCAGCAAAAGCCCACCAAGGGGGCTGAGCTGTGTTTCTGTGCTGAACTGTAATAGCTGTGTCTTGGGCTTCTGTGCTGTAGCCACTTCCTGCAGTATAGTAGCTCTTTGTAATGTAAATGGGACCTAGGTTTGTTTATTTCACTCTTAGGCTTTCCTGAATTAATGAAATATTTGCAATGCTTGAAATCTGAGCAGTCAGGAGTACTCCCTTCACTCATATTTAAAGAAACAGAATGGTGAAGACATTTATCTTCATTGCAGATTCAGTAAAACCTTATTTTCAGCTGCTGCAGAGCTGTTGAGGGTAGTCAGATCTCAAGCTGAGTATGAAGAGTCGCAGGAGCAGCCCGCAGAACTGAGTGGGCAGTAAAATGGCAGATGAAATTCATTGTTGACAAGTGCAAAATAATGCACATGAGGAACGACAACCCTAACTATACTCATATAATGATGGACTCAAAATTAACTGCCATTACTCAGAAGCAGATCGTTGGGAACAGCAGGTTACTGCTCATCACAGGCCGGAGAGGAAAATCCAATGCTAGAAAATGATCAGAAAGCAAACAAGAAACATTCCAGAAAACATTTCTTTTGTAGGAAGATAAAAGCATGGTGGGCCCATACGTTGAACGTGACATTAGTTTCTGCCTCTGCCCCATCTAAACAAATTTTAGTAGTAGTAGAATCATAGAGTCCAGCAAAAAATTAGGTTGGAGGGTCTTCAGGAGATCTTTAGACCAACCTCATGTTGAAAGCAGGGATAAATACGAGTCTAGAGGAGGTTACTGAGAGCCTTGTCCAGTCAAGTTATAAATATCTCTAGCCATGGAGATTCCACAGCCTCTCTAGGTAAGCTTTTTAGCACTTAACTACCCTCATCAGAAAAAATATTGTCCATATATCTGCTTAGAATTAGGAGAGATTTGAAAATCAGTAGCACAGAATGGCATCTGTACACAGGCATAAGAAGTAGATCAGGATTTGCAGCTTGGAAGAGAGGACAGAGTGGGAACATCTTCAGGATTTATAAAATAAGGTATAAAAATGTCAGGCTATATACTATTTTTCATGTTGCTAGAGGAAGGGCATTCCTAATGAAATAATCAGACAACAGCTTAACAGAAATGAAAATAAGTGCATCTTTGTGCGTTGCATAATTAAATTGTAGGTCTCATTGGCATGAGATATGGTGAAGTCCAAGGATATCAAGAAAAATACTAAGTGAATTTCTGATAAAAAGAGATCCACAGGCAATTAACTGACTGCTAAGATCTGGAGGCAGCTTTTGCATCAGGAACAACTTGGGCCATGGACTGGGAGGAAAGAACAGAGCAAGGGAGATCTTGATCCTACGTGTTCTTTCCCTTGGCATCCATAAAGGAGATGCTGGCCTGGATGGCCCATTGATCTAACCCAGTACAGCAGTTCTTCTGATTTAAAATTCTTCACCTGATGTTTAGACCTCAGTCTAGTAGGTGGTGTCCTCTAAAGGGCCTTTGTTTAGTCAGCTAAGATACGAATTCAGTTGAAAGGCTGCAGCTCTAACCTTTGTGTTCAAGTGGTGGTGGTGGTAGAGGGAAGTGCATTCCACAATGGCAGCGTGGATTCAAGTCCAAAGAAATGTCATCAAGAAAGCAAGGCTGCAGTTCACAGGGTTGCAGCCACACAGAGGTCACCTCCTTCCCTCCTCCAAGCCCTCCTCTAGTTTATAGAAGTCCAGGTTAGTTCTCCAGCTGCAAAGGGACAGTAAAGTGGCAGATGAAATTCAGGAACGTGTTTGGATGCGGAAGGAACTAAATGATAGAAAGTGGAGCTTTTCTGTTCATGAGCTTTAAAACATGTCTCCTTCTCAACCTGATCTGCAGGCTCTCTGGAGTGACCTGCACACGTCTTTGTTCGTGGTGCTTTCTTGCTTTCACCTTCTTGAAACCCAGTGCCTCCCTGTGCATTCGATAGAGTAAAATATGTAGCCTGATACCCTCTGCCAGGGAAATGAAATCTGCTTCTGCATTCACTTCCAGAAAACGGAAGACAAGAGCTAAATAAAAGTATTTGCAGGCCTATATATTTTGTTCATCGTGCTTATCTAGACAAAGTAATTTAGATGCAGGCCAGATAATGTACCGCTTTGTTGACCGCAGTCTCATTGCTCTAAATACTGCAGCTTATTCCATAAATGATTTTTGCAGGAAGGTCAGGGAAGTTGCAAACTCTCTACAGCTTATAGAAAAAGACCATCTACGTTTCTCTTCTGCCATAACTCCAACCCTATCAAATCAGGCAGCAAGAGCGCCAAGCTCTCCCTTTTCTTGCAAATTCATCGAACAAAATGGTTCGGGAGATGGCTTTTAAGCAAGGTTTTTAGTTGCAGTTGGATCAGCCCAGCAAGAAACAGCATCTTCAGTCCTGAGAGTCTAAGGAGAGGTGAACATGCTCAAAATTTAGGGGAATCAAAGAGGAACTTAAGGAGTGATATTAAGAAGGATAGTTTTGAGGATCGTGGTACATGATGTCTCTACCTATGGCTCAGAAAGGGAGCTCTCTACGTGTAGTTAAATCTCAGGTCACTGCTTTAAGGACTTCTTGGAGAAACGACAATGAGTGACAGCAAAATAAATGAAGACGTGGAAGCATCAGGTATTCAGACTGAAAGCCAAGGAGCAAGCACGCTAACGGGCGCTGCTGGTGGAATATATTTGCTAGAGCAGAGTTGGAGACATCGCTGACGGATTTTGTAAGGAAGAGCTGTGGCATATCTAGTACTGAGCACATGTGGGAACAGAGTTCATAGGGGAAGATTTTTGTGATAGCTTGAAGGAAGAGCAATGAGCAAAGATAAATAATGCCAAGACATGAAGGAGAAATAGTTTGAAGGTCATTTAATTAGTTTAGCTGCTAGCACCATGGTGTATAGAATTGGGTAGTTAAGACTGGGGATTTCAAGGTTAATGAGATTAGATTATGGTTAATAGAATGATATAAATTTAGAGAATTTAACTATTATTTGAAATGGGTTATTTAATAAAACTGTTAATTAAGGAGGGAATCCATATTGTCATCTTCTCTTTTAAAATTAACCATTGAGGACTCTGGTAAAGGGGTCCAGCAATGTCCTGGGCAGGCTCAGAAGGGAGGTGACTGGGTTAACTGGAAACCCCATGTCGTGTTGTCCTGAAGCCAGCTGGTAGCCCCTGTTATGCCAGCTGAAGACTTCATTACCTCCTGACTGCCGACTGGAACCATGGGCAGCACTTGTCTTGTTAATCAGACTTCATGGTGCCGTTGAGGGAGGGGTGACATCCCTCGTGCTTAGAGGCTTTTTCAAGCAAAACGCCTGCTTGGGGCTGATTTTATTCTTCAGCCCTAGTTAGGAAGGCAGGAAAGGCTTTTCTCCCCACCACAGCCAGTTGGGCTCTGCCTGTGGAGCAGGGTCTTGCACCAGCTTTACACCCAGAGCCTGGCAGGGTTTGAGGGAGGTGATTGCCAACGTCAGCAGAGAAACAGAAGGGAGCCGTTGCCTCCCAATGGCCCTCTTGGGGTTGTGTTTTGTGACCAGATCTCCACTTGTAGTGCTTGGCGTGCAAAAGCTGTGTAGATTCCACCCTAGCTGGCTGGGGTGGGGTGAAAGCAAGCAGGACTCCTCTGCTTTGCATCCTGCCCTCTTGCTGGAGGTGTTGTTTTGGGGCCAGGGTGCGTGTTAAACATGACTTGAGGCTTTGAACCGGTCCGTGCTCTGCAGCTTGTTTCTTCTCTGAAGCAAGAGGCTCCGATCGAGGCAGCAGGAGCTCAGCCTGCCCCGAGGAATCCTCCTCCAGAATGATGCTACAGCGTATTGTGTCCAGAGTCTCCCAAGCATAATGGCCCCCTGGAGACCATTAAAAGCCAGTGGAACTGAGAGTAGCCACTAAACTTCTCTAATTTATGCCAGTGCTGGGCTGGCCCAAAGGAGGGTGGGAAGGGCTGAGCCTCCTTCCCCTCCCTGGCTCTTTCAACCCAGTTGAGAACGAAGCCCAAGACCTAAGTTTCACTGATGCTGCGATTCAGCACTTTTGTAAGGGCAAGATTCAGCACAGGACCCCCCGGCAATGTTGTATCCTCAGAGCTGGGTTTTGTCTTCAAGATGTCTTAGCCAGGGCAGGCTAGATGGGGATCTCCCACATCTTAATGAGGTTCCAGGGCTACTTGTAAATGTGCTTTAAAACCAATTTTGATGACTGCAGCTCTCCTGGGGCAGGCAGAGGCAGCGCTTGTTGAGGAAAAGCAGCCATGTTTCCAGATTACAGGGCAAAGTCTTGTGATTTATTTTTTTTTTTAAGCAGGGAGTCTACAGTGCTGCATCAGGGATACGAGGTCTCAGAGGACAAAAGAAAAGCTTGCACCCAGGCAAAAAACAATGGATAAGGTACTTGGGGGAGCCTGTAAAAGCCAGCCTGTGTGATGACTGGAGGTGCAAAGAAATGACAGATAATGAAGGCACAGTCCTAGCTGTGCAGAGGGAGAAGAAAGTGACAGTTAAAATAACGCATACCAAAAATGCTAGAGATGGAGAATTTTGCACTCGCCTGACCCAATTTGTTATGGCAGACAGAGGATTACATGAAAGGATTAAGCTTTGCTGTCCTTAAGGTCACGTTAGGGGTCACAACTTTGTGGCCTTGCCTGATCCCCGTCTTGCAGGGGAGCAGAAATTGGGAAGCTTTTTATGGGGCGGAAAGGACTTGTTGGCTGTGTTTGAAGTCAGATTACTTCACTCCCAATAGCTGCAAAGCTGATAATGCAGAGAATGAGCAAACGGTGGGCTAATCTCAAGCAGGACTTTTTATTTCTCCTGGGGAAGGCTCTAGCAGTCCTTTCCCAAAGGGTGTTAGAGTACAACTCCCTTGGCACGACAGCAGATGTGACTGCAGCGAGGCGGGGTTGTGCCAAGCAGCATTTCTCTGCAAGGAGCATTATCCTCTTCCCTGGAGTTCTCTCTCTTTGCTTTGGTAAAGTTTACTAGCTGCTTGTTAAGGAGCTAAGAGAGGCAAAGCTTGAAAGATCTGAAATCTTTCCCTGGCTAAGGTTTTCCCAGGGTTGACTTGAGGCTGGAATACTAATATTGTATCCGGCTCCATCCTCAGAGTACCTGCCAATGGCTCTGTGTCTCAACAAAGCAGCCCAAGGACATCTATCAAGATCTAAATGGTACTGTAGGGATTGTGTTTTCTGCGCAGAGCCATCTTTTAAGCATGCAGATATAGGGACAGAGCGTGTAGGGACAAAGGATGACAACAGTTGACTCCTTGTGGACTTGGCTGTTTCAAGCACCGTTTCCTCCTTCCCGTGTGCCCTCCCTGTAACAGCTCTTTGTGTTTGGAGCAGCTTCCCTGCATTTCTCTATTTTACCAACCCTCTGCCCGACTTCAAACCTTAGGTAGAAAAACTGGAAACGTACCTTGTAGTTCTTTTTGCTTTCCATTGCATTTGCTATTCTCCAAAGCACCTGGGGACGCTGCAGAACACGCCCCCCAAGGAAGTGGCACCACGGACGTGGCTGTGCTGTGGCTGAGGATGAGGAAGGTGTCTCACACATACCTCTTTGATACAACACACGTAGAGCTGAGCATGTTCATCTTCCCTTTTCCGCTGTCAGGCAGGGAGATATTTACAATTGGATGTGATTTTTCCCTGTCAATTAACTCAAGCCAGAAGAGAGTTTTTAAAATCTATTCTTGCTTTAAAAGTTCGGTGACCTACTTAACGTGTTTCAAGCCTGTTTGGAGTTCACCTTTCCTCTTGCATTTTGCTATGTCATTCTTTTGCCCTCGTTCTGTGCTTGGTGCAGCCAGGCTCCCAGCCATGGTAAATCCCATCATAAACTCTGCTTTATGACCCTCGCCGCGCTGGTGCTGAAATGCTCTGTCTTTCCCCTTCCCCAGCTCCCAAAAGGCAGCAGGCAAGAGTTTTAATCACTGTGAATTCAGGTTGTGGTCAGATTAGGTAGAAGATAGGATGCGTGTTTGTTGTTTTGCAGTGATGTATTGTTTCTGGGATTACTGTGCTGAATAGCAGAGGGTGTCAGCTGATATTTATTACTTTAAGCTGTCTCAGCTGTTCTGGTTCAGCAAATAAACCTACATTCAAAATGAATGAGGAGCTCTGCTTGCCTTGTATGCCATGATGTGTGCAAATGTGATTATTGCTTCCGAGGCAGGGGAAGCTGAAATCATTGTGGGAGTTATTTATTTAGTTTTTAGTTTTTTATTTATTTAGTTTTAGTTATTTATTTATTTTTACTCTTTGCAGGCAATCATGCAGATTTCTAAAGCACACAATCAAGCCAAAGGCTTGACACCTCTCCTCCTAGCCCCATTGTTAAGCCCTGGCATTCCTCATGCTGGGAATCGCTCGCTCCCTCTCTCTCTAAAGTGATAAGCTTTAAACCACGCTATTGATTGCTTAAGGCATTACATGTTTTACACCTAGGTTATCAGTGTTATTGAAAGGGGAAGACACAAAGCTACTGGGCCTTAAAATGAATCTACCTCTCGTCTTTTCCCATTTGCTCTGAGGATTTCAGACAATTTGTTTTACACTGATCTCTGCTGTGGAGATAAATAAATGAAACCGGAGACATCAACCCTCCCCAAGGTTAGAGTGAGAAGTGTTATTAGTGTAGGGCCTCGTGTGCACCCCAGCACAGGCTGGGCTCGCTTAGTCTTTATTTAACGCAGCAACAAGGGCTGATTTCAGAAGTTGCTGCTCCCCTTCAGATAAGAAGTGTCACATAGCGCAGCTATCAAGGTGAATTGGTATTTTCAAGTGAGAACCTCTCTGCTTCTGATTAAGCCCTGAGGACTCCCTCTCTTCTCTCTTAACTCTTTAGCTCCCCTCCGACGTGGCCACCACCTTCATGGCTGAGGGGCCACCTGGGGGCACAGCGGTGGGTCTGGGGTCACCCCAAGTGCTGTGGCTTTGGCCGTCTGTCCTTGGGGCAGCTGAGGTCCTTGGCAGCCTTTTGTCAGTCTGGGGACAAGGGTGTAGGAAGCCAGCAACGCTGCTGCCATGGGGGTAACAGTGATGCTGGCCAAAAGGCTCTGGGCTTTTTTTAGGGTCTGACTATTGTTTTCATGATGCAAAAATGACCACTGAACATGAGACAGTGAAATCCACCTCCCCAGAGCTCTAAGGTGATGTTTGCCTGATTTCCAAGCAGAAAGATGTGCTGTTGTTCCCCTCTCATCCCCAAAAGCCTTCTTTCTGCCCTCTCTGCCTGTCAGCAGAGACACCTCGTTGGCAGGGTAGAGGTAATGGATTTGATGGGACACAAATAGGAGGAGCCTGTCCATCTTGTGCTCCATTGTACACGTCTCCTAACAGATAAGTGACAGGAGCAGATAAAGTGTTGCTTTGCCCTTCAGTAGCATATCCCATCCCGGGGTCTCAGCAATAAACTCATGAATTGAGTATTGATGGCAGAAGGGTTCCAGTCCTGCTTGCAGTGGTCAGAAAAGCTGCGAACATGTTTTTCTGGAGATCCTCTAAAGAGTAGAACAGTGTCTTAAAATATGACCACATTGTTTCTCAGTGAACCCCTGTGGGGTTCAGAACCCGTTTTCCAGGGGTGGAAAGGGGCCCTGAGGAACAGGGAAAGGGTCCAGATCCAGTTACTGCAGTGGTTTTCACGGATCTGGGTTTCAAGGCTTGCAGCTGAGCAGAGAACGAGCCGTATTCTTAATAGGGAGCTGACTGTATAACAACCAGCCCCCTAAAATCCACAGTCTCAAAGATGAGATGACTTGCCTGAGGTTACACAAATCATCTCTCGCTGAACCTGGAACCGAGCCCTCGTCTGCCACTGACATACCTTGACTGCAAAGCCATCCTTCCTCGAAGGACCCACACACATAGCCACACGATGAGACCATGAGACTTTTTATGGCCAGATGAAAGATTTAATAACCTCTGTGTGACAACATCCACTCAGCAAATGGAGAGCTTGTGTTTTAACCCCCGGCGGCTTCGGAGGGGGAGGGCAGGTGGGGGGTGGATGAGGAGGCAGGACGTGGTGTTTGCAGTGGGGTGGGATTGGGGGGTTCCTGGTCCCTTCCCTTGACTAACGTTACCTTTCTCTGTCTGAAGGACGGCATGAATTGGGTGTGCAAAAATGTCAATGCTAAGAAGAAATAAAGCGTTCTGAGCTGCATGGAAATGGAGGAGCGGTGGGAGCAGAATTCTAGCCTGAAAACACTAATTTGCTGCTTTCTGACCAAATGTTTTTCCATCTGTGCACAGCTACAGCTGTTAAAAGAAAAAAAAAAAAAAAAAGAGGAGGAGGGAGAAAAAAAAGGGAACAACATCAGTTAAAACCTACTGCTGGATTTGGAACTTGACCTGCTCTTTAGTATCGTTTTTTTTTATCCCAATAAAGGAATTATATATTTCCTCCCTATGCATAAATAGTATTAAATGTCTGATTAGCCAGCAGGTTTGTAAGCAGAAGCAGGAGTGTGATTCAGTGTGGAGCAGAGGGAGTGGTGAGTTACTGTAGTGGCTTAGATGCATAGGACCTGCCCTATACGTGCGGGTTTGCGGTTGCTGAGGACAAGCTCAGGTGTCAGTCACAGCTACACCTCAGTGACAGTTAAAACGCGGTTGTGTTACCCCTTGTGGGTTGTTT